CTCATTCATTCTCTTCTTTTTTCTTTTCAGCTTTCATTCATCTCTCTCAGGCCCGATTTTTCATTATCTGGTTAACTTGTGGTTAAGCTTAACCTGATGTTTCACCCAATGAGCTTTATCTATGACATCACCATAGATGAAGCCCATTGAATAAAACATCAGGTTAAGCTTAACCACAAGTTAACCAGATAATGAAAAATCGGGCCTCAATCATTATCTCATTTTTTCGCTCCTCTTGCTATCACAATCGCGTAAGTTAATATCGAAGAGCGATACGATTTACAAAGCAGAACACAATTCATATATTTCATTCTTTTTCCTTTAATTTATTTGCAGTTTTTTTTTGTTTTCTTATTTAAGGGCGTCAATAGGTCATCAATACGCAAACAGTTGCAAAAATCTGATTTCATATCGATATAATAAAATTTTAGCTTATTATACACATGTCTTCTCGTCGTATATGCGTCACTATTGTATCTGCTTCACAGACCCCGTTATTATGGTCGATTCGCATTGCTTTTATGATTATAATAATGATTGCTATGACTTTTTAGAACGCTCATCATCATTATTATGATCACAATAGTCGATGTCGTAGCAGTTAACCATCCATCGTCCGTAATTATACAATAGTTATACATTATTTCTCTTGCTTGCACTTGTTCACGCACGCATTTTCCACATTTACATTCATCATATATACAGACTTATGTAACACACACATGTATGCACGCATTTATTCTCATACTCTCTCATTATCCTCGTCGCTCGTGTCGTCGCTCATAAAATCTTTGTTACGATTTACCCTCTAATCTCGTGATTATTATTTAGATAGACCTTACTGTTATTTCGTATACATTTTTAAGGCGATGATTCAATCGAGTGAACTCATTTATAAAACGAACAGCCAATATGACGTCCGCTCGCTCCGTTCTTCGCTGAAATTGTGCCGATTTTACACGCGTTCTCGATCGTGCAATCTTCATCCGTACCTGTATGTTCTACTTCTAACATTAATTCTTTGAACTTTTTTCGCTTATTTCATAACATAATATAATAACGCGTTAACATGACTATAAACTGAGTTTGATATTGTATTGACATATTGTGTGACTTTAATAATTATCGGAAAAGAATAGTTTGGAACATTATAAAAATCGAATTACATATACTTTAGATCATTTTGCAATCAGATTTATGTATTTAAATATTTTTACTATAATTTTATTAAGCGTCACTCTTTGTCGAGGAAATTAATTGCTATTATACGATCATATACATAATTTATATCTCAATGTATCGTCATACATGACCAAAAACAGAGATCTCAACAAAAACATACATCATTCAACAATATAAAAATTGCTTTTGTCTTTGGCGTTACAAGCGACAAAGAAAATATCGGTTGTCATCGATTAATAGTAGTTTTTGTGATTGTCTTGTTCTCAATAATTATGTTCTTTTTATCATTAAGCTTTATCAATAAATAATAAATATCAATAAATTTATCAATCAATAAATAATAAATAATATTAATTGTATAAGTCTTAATCGAGAAGATTCCACGCGCCGAAATTATCGCGTCTTGGAATCGATCATTATGTGTGTGAGAATTATTAAACAAAGTAATGAAAATTCATGAAAAGTAATAAAAAGGAAAATATTAAATTAATTTTTAAATAAACAATATTCTATAATCTTCATCAAGTCTTGCGTATACATATAATCTCGGCGACGTAAAATAATATACATAACTTCCACTTATTTCTTATCGTATATGTTTTTCATCCGTCTCAATGATCGCGATTAATTTCCCCGACGAAAAATTTGGCGGCTGACATTGAAGAACCAGATAAATTTTATACGGTCAAGGAATCTTTTCCACTTACATTTTTTTCCCTTAGCAAGAGAAAACGGTCAACGATCGTACGATCGATTGGCGTATCTTACGTAGAGGAGCCATGCATGTACGTTTGCGTGACGCAATTACGTTGTAACTTACGCGAATTTGGAAAGTTCTTCCGATTTAATCAGGACAATAACTATACTGACTTTTCTCACACCTGAGTCTTTCGGTATACGTGGGTTATCTTTTTTTTTTTAGTTTAGTATACTAGAACGCCGATCACGTGAGCAACGTGCAACACTCACATCCCTCTTTAACCGCAGAAAGAATTGGATGATTCATATGATCTCGAGATCGTTCTCGTATTTTTTACGCGGAATCGAAATATATTGTGGGGAACATCAATACGTTGCCAACGTGTCGCTCGACTTCCGGCAGGAGCAATTGTGTTATATTAAAACTTTTATATAAGATTTGCGTGTACGTGGATGTATTGAAAATATTGATAAAATTTTTGCTTATGCTCTTTCTTCCCTTCTTCTCGCTCCCTCTTCTTCTACCCGTCATTCCTCATTTTGCTCATCGTACTCTGTCGATCAGAGAGAATGGTACCGATGATCCATCCTTCCAAACGGACCGTCGTCGTGACTTGATCGTCGAGAGATCAACGAGACATGCGTCCTAGCGTGACGCATGTGACGTTAACGAGGGGCGTTTTTATTATTTCGTACCTTTATTCATCATGAATTCGATTTCACGTATAATCGACGATTTAATTTCACTAAAAATTTCTTCTTTTAATACACATGCTCTGTTTGGTACGTATCGCGTTATAAAGGTTTCTCGAAAATTCATTTTTTTTTTCCCTCAAAAACACTCTCTCCTTGCTCCTGATCCCTCATTCGCATGTTCGTTTCTCTCTTTTTCTTACTTTCTATCATCATTTGCTCGTATTTACGTATATTAGGGACGCGTATGCGACAAGATTTGTATAGAAATATAAACTCCACCAATATAAATCGTAACGGGAGAATGAGGGACAAGAGATTGGAAGAGATAAAAATAGGTTGAAAATTAATGTTGCATTCTACTTCTTTTTCTTCGTTCAATTTAAAACTAACATGTTATCGAACACATAAGTAACAATAATAAAATTTAACAAAGACGTAGGACGAATTGTGTATAGTATGGTAATAAAAGTATTAGACATACACAAATAAGAACCGCGTAATAGTTCTCATTTGCCCGTTATGTTTGAATATATGATTTTTTAAAAGTATTAGCGACGAAAACGAGCGCATGAAATAGGAGGAAAAAGAGTGCGAGAAAGATTGAAGGCAAAAAGACAAGGAATTTTTTTCTTGGATTCGCAAATGACCGTAACTATATGTCGCAGGTAAAAGTTCGTATACGAGTGTATTTAAAGAAACACATATATACGGGAAAGACAGTTGGCATCGCGATGATATAACTGGATCGCTTTATCGATGAAGAAAGGATAAGAAAAGTACAAAAATTTGGAAAATTTTTCCCCCCTCTCTCTCTCTCTCTCTCTCTCTACCGCGAATTAATTGCTGATTGTATTCATAAGAGAGGGATCGTTCGCGAGCACAAACGTAATTGAAGAAGCGCGCTTACGTACACAAGCACTTCGATGATCATTTCCGCTTGTTTTTATATAAATAAACAATTGATTTATTGAAATTTCTATTGATGCCATACATTGGTCGATCGATGAATATCTAATTTATACCAAAAACTAAATTTTATTATTGTTTTAAATTGCATTTCTTCAACTATCTAAATCTATTCTTGCAAAATTTACGAAAACTTTTATTAGATATAAATTCAATACAGATATTTTCATGTCTCGACTTTTTAAAAAAAAATTCAATAAACTATTGCGTAAATAAATGATTTAATTAAATTCAATTTTATCGTGATCATCAAAGTATTCTTGAGTACGATGCTGTACGAAATTGATAAAATGTCAAAAGGAAATGGAAAGAAATAATAAATATTAACATAAGTCTTTGACGCAGTAAGCTAAATAGAAATACGTACATTTCCAAACCGTAAGATAACACGGCATAAGACTATTATAGCATATGCATAATAAGTAGATACGTAGAGTTAACATTTTATTTTTAATATCAGTCATTTGCCTCATCTTTCTCTTTTTTATATTTCGTACGTACTCACCTTTTCCCTTTGACACATTTTCCGATCACAGAATCTCGTTGAAAATGGATGAAGAAAATAACGATGAAAACAAATTGTTCGATTTTTTATTCGATTCTTTATTTTCTATCCGATTCTTTATTTTCCTACTTTCTTTTTTTCTTAGCAAGAAAATTATTATGCCGGAAAAATGAAGGCAAGTCAACATGCTCGCAGAACGATTCTCCCAGAAAATTTCTCGTCCACTCCCTCATCTTATTTTCACAATTGAATTAACTATTTATATAGAATATATTATAATAAAAGCTGCGATCGCGCACGTATACATTCGTTTAATTATTTTTATGATCGTAATAGGAGAGTACGTTCAATGTACCAGTATACAATGTATCTGTGTATATGCTTGTGTCTTTTTATGAAAAGTGTATGTTGAATGTATGTAAGAGAGTGTGCGTATGTATGTCACTTGCTGGAGCGGGGGTTGGATTGGGTTTGGGTTTTAAAGGATAGGATTCTCAAAGAGATATTGCTGCGTCATCGAATATACGACAAAAAACGTCAATCTCTCATTCTCTCTCACTCACACACTCACTCACTCTCTCTCTCTCTCTCTCTCTCTCTCTCTCTCTCTCTCTCTCTCACTGATATCTATATCTCTATTTTTATTTACCTATGTCTAAAATTTCTCAATACATTCACATTCATGTATTCTCTCACTCGCGCCACTTGCATCTTCCGCTCTACTCTCTCGATTTGCGCGAAAATTTTCTTGTGTCTAGTACGCGTCGGCAATATACGATAATCGTCCCAGTCCAACTACAACGCTCGACTTATATTACAATCGGGGCCACACGTTTTTTTACTCTCCGTTATGTATATATATGTATATATATATATTTATTTATTTATATTACATACATATATATATATATATATATATATATGCAATTGAATAGTCGACGCTCGAGTCCGGCACACGCGTCGATGTCATTCGATCTAATTCTCCTCTGTATTTGCGTCAATTTGCTTTCATATATCTTTAAACATCTCCCGTGCCATCTAATAATCTTTTCATTTTGTGTCTTGCTATTTATATTTATTTATAATATATATAGATATGTATACATACATACATATGTATATATATATATATACTGCCATTTCATTTGTCTTCGTATGTCTTACGTACTCTCTTTTTTACCCCTTTTGCGTCGTCCGTGCATTGAACATATTTTCTATTTCGTGCGAGCACCGGCTGTCTCTCATTTTTTTTAATGTACATGCCCGCTAAATTGCCTATGTATCACTTATAAGTTTTCATTAATATATCTCGATCGCGACTGTATTAAAATTTAACATTTAAATTCTTCAATCACTACAATATTACACCGCGATATTTGTACAAAGAACAATCACATGAATTTTTTCGCGACCGCGTCACTCTCAAGACCAAGCCGCGGCTTCATTCCTTTCGTCCTTTTTCGTCGCGTTTGTAGCCACTTTGCTTCGCTTCGCAACCGTCCTTCTTCCTTCGACGATCTCTACGATCTCGTCGGCCTCCTGCGTCGTTTCATCTACCTTATCCTTTCTCTTTTAAACGGGAATTTGACTCCTTCGTTCTTTTTTTGTATTTCTTCCTCATTCCCAAGCACCCAAGTATCACGAATTTCGACGTGCGGCGTAGTAAGAAATCATCAAGACTGTCATTGTGGTGATCGTGGAGATTACGGATCATCGTTGTCCTCTGATTCTGATCTACGCCAACTGGAGCACAGTAGGTCCATTACGCTTTTCGTGTTGCTAGAACCATCGTTTCATCTATTCCATTTTGCAAGTACTCCTGAAACATCCGAGGTTGACCATCCTCAGTCTAACGAAAATATTATTTCAAAGATAATATTACAATAAAATAAAAATATATCAAATGTTTACATGTAAGTAATTTATTTTATTCGTACTTTGATCAATATTTTTCTTTATAAAATCTCTCATAAATATGTAAACAATTGATTGTATAATTAATAATTATTTTTTTAATAAATATACGAGCTCAATGTTAGAACAGTCATATATCAAGTAAAAAAATACAAATTCAATTTTTAATTATTGAATACACACACACACGCACGCACGCACGCACGCACGCACGCACACACACATACACAATGATAAATACTAGGAAATTTGAATAGAAAACTATTTCCTTCTGATAGAAACAAAGTCACGACAATTTAGTAAATAAGAACGAAAAATAAACGGATCATGATATTACATACAAACAGGAATCTTAAATAATAATATATATATATATATTAATAAATTAATTAAAAAAATAAGTTAAATCCTCTAGCTTATTTTTCTAGAGTAAAAGTGAACGATTATGTTTCATTTCTATAAAAATTTCAATTATATATAATGAAAATGTAATTCAATAAGTAATCAATTCATGACATTATAATCCAATGTAAAAAATTGTTAATTAGAACATTAGTATAATATACACAAACCTTTATAAGTGATGTCCGTAGTACTCTGGATAATGATACTGATTGTGAAAGGTAGGATCGCCGGGCGGTCGGTGCATCATGCTGGCCGCCTGTCCGTCCATCATATAACCCATCGTCGCATCCGGACTATATGCCCCACTTGGTCCTGCGGACAATGGTGGAAACACTACACATTACTACGGTTAGATCTCTGTTCCGTAATTGGCAGACGGGTACTGGACAAGCTCGCCGTGACCCCTTCCAAAGTTCTCGAGGAACTCAAGACCTCGATGCCCACTCGATACTCAGTCTCCTCATGGCAAAGAGATAGGATGAGGGAGATCGAGACGAGCACATATCGGGGAGCACGGCGAGCTGTGTGATGTAATTTACCAAAGTCACGATCATATCACTGATAATTTCAAAAGCTTATATCGTAAACTCTAAATATAATATTCTTAGCATTTTTAGCAAATTCTTTTGAATCATATTTTTGTTTAACACATATTGACGAAAGAAAGAAAATATAAATTAGTTTTTTTTTAAAGAAATCCTAATAACTAAAAAATATTAAATAAATAATATAAAAAAATATATGAATGCAATAATTGGCAATAAGCGATTAGCGCGATAAATAATGCGTAAATTACAAGTATGTATCTAATTAAATTTAAAATAATAGATACATAATTAAAATGATTGAACGAAATTATATATCTTGTAACATAAAAAAATATATATAAAACTTAATAGTAATACTATTTACTATTCAATAATGTTTATAATTTACTCGTGACACTGGCAATTGATGTGCGTATGTGTGTGTGTGTGTGTGTGTGTGTGTGATATTTTAATAAAAATTATTGATTAAAAGATTCTCTTGATATTCTGACGATTGTAATAGTTTTGTTTATAATCAGTATAACATCAATAGATAATGCATCCAGTTGCTAGCAACAGTCAGTATAAATAAATCTCTGTGATTTCTGCTATTGCTAATAAAAAAAAAATAAAGATGCATGCGAATAATAGATCACTGTTAATTTCAAGAAAATGTCGAAGTGTCAAGTGCAACTGAGAATTCAATCTCATCCAAACATTTCGATGCAATGTGACGACAGCTCTCCTCTGTTCTAAGCGATAATGGAACCTCGGGATCCATGGGAGACTCCCCTAGTTTTAATGTCGGTATCTTAATGTATATTGCCACGATAAATCAAGAGCACTGATTGCGTCCTACCCTCTATGCCAGTAAGTGCTCAACCGAAGCTGACGACACAAGAGAGAAGAAGAGAGAGAGAGAGAGAGAGAGAGAGAGAGAGAGAGAGAGAGAGAGAGAGAGAGAGAGAGATAAACGAATGTCGCTGAGGTCCGAAACACTGAGGCCTCGACTGCCACTGTGAAATGCTTTCTAAGCTTTTCATATGCTAAAATTTTCCTCCCTCAACTTATATCTCTTAATATTATATACAGTTTGCCATTGTAGATTTATTAAGCTATACACGCATTAACAGCGTGTGATCTTCAAACAATATATGTCGCAGATGTATACATATTAAAAATGAAAACCCATGTGATTTCGTTCTAGAGTATCTAGCATATCATCAGCGTATAATAAGACATGCCGATATATCAGGCAGCAACACACCTTGGATATATTTAATATTATCAAAAAATTAAAAAAAACATTGATATCCCTGTGTCGCAAAATAGAACATTATTAGCTATGCTAAGTTAAGCCATTGGTTCCAAAAAATCGTGGAAAGAACGCCAATTAAAACTTGTATCCGTTAAGATCGTGTTTTCATAGATACACAAGATAGTATAAAGATACAATCTAGTATATCGCGGTTCTCCACGGTTCGCTGGATTTTCCATCAGTGATTTGTCAAAAAGCGGGAAGCCCGTAATCTCGCTTCTTCTCTTCCTCCCTCGTACTCTGTCGACTTTTTCTTCATCTTCTCGTCCTGCCGACAAGTTCTTCTGCTTCGCAAAATACGTCGCCACGGTTTCAAACGATCTCTCCGCGCTTTACTTTGCCAACAACCAAATCGTAAATCACAATTATTGCAAGCATCCCCCTTCGTTCAGGATCTGTCTCGTTCTTCGGTTTCCTTCGGACTGTTTTTCAACTACGCAACGCTCTTCAATGTAACCACTCCCCATTCCTCGTTACTTCTTCGATGAGCATAATCACTACATATCCAATAACATCGGTAACGCAAGACACTAAAGGTAACCCTCTATTGCATTCGGAAGTAGCACTTTGTAACTAATAGTTCCCAACCTTTGGGACTCACGACGAGGTATTGTCACTTATTGTAGATCACACTTAAGAAAATGACGTAAATATTTTCTTTAACAGTCCAAAGCTGTTTAACACAAATACAAAAATATATTTAAATATGAAAAGCGCTATATTATCATACTATTACAATGTACCATTAAAGAAAATTCGAAAAATTATTACAAATTTCGCAACGACATCGCAATATTTAGACGTCGCGTCGCTTCCAAACGGTGGAGATGTTTTGTACGGCATGCTGTATCTCGCAACATGTATAGTTGTGTACATCAAGCAGAATGTAGCCGCATATTATAGCGACTACGATATTTCGCTAACGAATGCGATATTCGCTAAGGGATGCGCGCTTGTATAGTGTGATTAAACTATGCTATAACGCAGCGGGGCATCGATGGGATAGCCGACAATATAGGAAATTGAGAAATCGTTCGTTCCTTGCAACGTTAACAGAAAAAAAAACTACGAAAAGAAACCCGATCGAATAATGGCTGATGGGAAAAGTAAAATCCGGTGATGTGTGCTCGCGAGGATTCTTCTGGCAAAATCATCCCTTTCTATGTTGTGATTAAGTCATCATGGCAATGCATAGCAAAATATTTTGGAACAAGATATAATACAATTAGATTAAATCAGAATTATTCGTACGCGATAGGAAATTTTCTTGAATAACCATACAAGTAAAACTAAATAACAATGCAAGGTATATAGACTAAGTAAGATGAAATTCTATTGTTATTGAAAATCAAATTAAATCTATAGATTAAATTTTGTTTAAACAATTTAATCTATATATTTTTATATTTTATAATAAATAAAATAAGAAATAAAATTTCATAATAACTGATTAAGTCTCGTATATATAGAAATAAAAGAAATATCTATAATAGGTATATTAGATTTATCTCTTGAGATAAAATCGAAATTCATAAAATAGTCCCGGGAATTTCCTGTGAATAAATCATGAGTCGTATTGTAAAGGATCAAAGATGAAGATCGCATAGTCTGATTCATTATATGAAACCTTTGAGCTATCGCCTCGTTACGCTTTAATTAACAAAGGCGAATTATATCGCCGGCTATTATCACCGTCTTAATAGCCATTCTTACGACGTTGGAAATCCTCGTGCGGCTTTTCAGAGTCATCCGGGGAATTCGTTGATTCTCCGACGGAGGCCGGATACCGCAGGACGAAGAATGTTATTTTTGTCTCGGATTAAGCCAAAGTAGAGGGTCAATTCGATGAGGTTAGAGCCCGCAGTGCAACGAGACCGCACGACGTTACGAAAAACGCCGTATGGCGTAATGCAATAAAGTTCCCCGGTCGAGGTCAATTCATCGCATGTAGTTCGGTATCGTGTAAATCCACACACACAAAGCTACCCAGCCCCTGGCATACGCACTCGTCTATCGTCACATTCGTCGCATGAAACCCGTTGCTCAGAAAGCGCCAATATATTTCAAGTTGTGATCGCTAATTTATTTAAAATAATAATACGAGTTATATGAGACAGTAGGGTAGCATATACATATATATATATATATGTATGTATACGTTAATTATAATATAAACGCGTTTGACAATGTTTTGTTTCATTTGCATATTTATATAGCCGTACAATTTAATTATCGCTATAGACTTATATAATATATTAAAGAAAGAGAAAAACGATCTCTAAGAAAGATATATACAAGTAACAGAAATTCTCTCTCTCTCTCTCTCTATCTCTCGAACTATATAGCGACATTAATAGAATTCTATGATAATCAAACGAAGCAGTTTGAAAATTTCCTCAAATTCATTAAAGGCATTATCTTTATAACTGAATAAAATTTATTATCGACTCGTTAACTTGCTGCCATAGCGACCGATGGAAGAAGAGCCTGGAATTGCCTCAAGGTGAATCTAATTAAACTTTCGCGACAGACTCGTTCAAAGTAGTGGAATGTCAAAGTTCGGCCGCGAAACGGAACTGCTTCCTTCAAAACAGGAGAAGAAAATAAGTTAGGAACTCAAGGATGAACTACTTCGTAAGAAGATATGTTTTCACGGTCTTCTAGCGTCGTTAAACTGAAATTCACATTAAAGCTACAAAATATCCTAAGACTTTTTAATGTTATTTAAATGTGATGTCAGTATGTTGTATATGGTATTTCATTTCCATTCAAGTACAGATAGTGATACGTTGTAAAAATTTCATTTTACTTTGATTCTGAACGTTACTTAATGTCTATGGCTAGAGATTTTATTAAATTGATTATATCGGAGAAGGGTTCAGAATTGTTTTCATTTCTTGAATTATCTCATTCCATTAAATAGCACTCGGAAAAGAAGCCAAAATGTCTGCAGAGCTGAATTATTCAACCTTTGCAAATACAGTAATCCGTGCAAACACGGTAATGTTTATAATGTTTCGGCATTAATAACTGTTGCAGCTCACAATTTTATTTGACTGTGTGATTTATGTATATACCATTAGTTTGAATTTAACTTGGTCATCAAAAAAATTAAAAAAGTTACATAAAAGTTATATTGTTTAGAAGCTATAATAAAACAGATCGCGCAGAAATTTTAAAACTAGCTAACTATCTCCAAAATCCTTTTCAACGAATTCAGTCGCGCAACACAGGAACAACATTAGTAGTAACTTATGGTTGCAGCAGCCTGACCCATGTTTATAGTGGTAGGCGGAGGATCAGAGTTGAAGGTATACGAAGGCGTGTAAGGTGGTCGGACTCTCTGGCTGCCACCGATGCTTCCTAGATGAGCGAGGAATCCTTACGGAGGTTAGTGGGTGGTGTTTTCCAACTTAGTTGGTGGCGACACGCCGAGTGTTCACGCCGAGTTTCCGTCCGGAGTTCCATCGGAGTTCAAGCCGAGTTCT